AGCATCTCCGTGACTCCTCGCCTCTCCTCGCGTCTCCGCGTCCCTGAGTGCTGGCGAGCAGCTCCGCGAGAAAGCCACTCTCGCTTTCCGACCCGCTGCAAGGCCGTCCCGCCTCTCCCCGTAGGGGTCTGGGATCTCAGAATCCCCCCCCACAGAAGCTCAGTGGATTCGAGAGTTTGTAACCCCTTTTGATTGAAAAAACCCGCGCATCCAGTTGCAACCCACCTGGCGCGCGACTCCGTACCTCTGTTCTTGGCACCTCTGCATATCCTACTCAGTCTCAGTGCTCTTCTTTCTGTCCTTCCAGTTGTAGAACTTCCACTGGGCCAGCTTTCCCATGGCTCTGAATGATAGCTGTTTGTCTTATAGTTGGTATTTTCAATGTTGTTATGGGAGGCAGCACGCACAGGTCTGTACCTTACGCCACCATCTTGGTTCTCCAGCTCAATGCATTTTAAAATTTCCCATGAGACTTTCTCTTTGATTCATGGCTTATTCAGAATTTCAAAGTGTTTGCAGATTCTCCTATTGTCTTTCAGTAATTGATTTTTAGTATGATTCTATTGTGGCTAAAGAATACATTCTGTATGATTTCGCTTCTTTTAAATTTGTCAAGGTTTGTTTTATGGCCCACAATATGATCTACCCTAGTGTTTGTCCCTTGGGCACTGGACAAGAATATGTATTTGTCTTTTATTGGGTAGAATGTTCTATAAATCTCTATTTGATCCTATATATTAACCTAGAGTCTATTAGATTGATGACACTGTGGACTTTTTTGTCTAGTTCTATCAATTGTTGAGAGAGGATTAGTGAAATCTCCGATTATAATTGTAGATTTTTCTATTGTCCTTTCAGTTCTATTAGTTTTTGCCTAATATTTTTCAGCTCTGCTGCTTGGTGACTACACTTCCAGAATTGCTATGTCTTCTTGGGGATTGACCTTTTAACATTACATAATGGCACTCTGGTCATTTTACTTCCTCTGAAATCCCTTTTATTTTATGTTAATGTAGCCACTTCTGCTTCTTTAATTAATATTTGTATGATTTATATCTTTTTCCATTCAACTCACTTATATTGTATTTGAAGTAAGTGTCTCATGGACAGTATCTACTTGGGTCATGTTTCCTGTGGATTACTTGAACATCTTTTTACATCTCCATTTTGTTTTGTATGTAGTGTGTTTGAGTTATCTATTTGTATATCTTTTTAGTGGTTGCTGTAGATCTTGTTTTAAATATATACCAGGGTCCCAGTGCACGAATTTGTGTACCTTGAAAGGAACTGTGTGCCACGAGGCTGCAGTGGGCACAGGGGTGGGTCTCGGCCCATCCTCCATGCCCCCGCCATGGCCCCCAGTCCCCTTTCTGCCAGCTGCCCCAATCGCTCCTTAGGAGCAGGGGGAGGTGGTGAAGCCCTCAGGGGCAATCAGGGCTGACAACCACAGCTCACACCTCCTGACGGTGCCAAGCGATCGGGACCAGCGCCGGCTACGGGTGCAAGCAGGGCCGGTGCCAGCAGTGGGTGTGAGAGGCAGCTGCTGGCCCAAATCGCCCTTCAGGACCAGGGGAGGTGGAGGGGCGCTGGAAGCAGGTTCGAGTACCAGGCGGGACCGCGGGGCATGGGAGCAAAGAATTTTCCATAACCACCAGAGTCTCGTCCCAGTGACAGCACCCGGCATCCCACCTTGGTCTGGTGGTCAGCACACGTCATAGTGACTGGTTGTTCAGTTGTTCCACCATTCGGTCTATTTGCATATTAGCCTTTTATTATATAGGACAAGTCATTATAGTCTGCTGGTATTATCATTTTACTAGTTTGAATTAAGTATAGAAACCTTAACTTTTTTTTATGAACTTCTAGTTTTACTCCTATTTATGATATAATTGTCTTACATGTTTTCTCTACATACATTTAGAAACAAATCAGTGTTATAAGAAACATTTTAACCACCAAAGATGATTTAGAAAATTTAAAATAAGGAAAGCTCCCCTGCCCCAATCCCTTCCTAATGTTTTAAGGTTCCATCTTTTATCATTTCCTTTCTATTTAGAGAATTTCCGTTAGTGGTTCTTTAGGGTGGATTTATTGGCAACAGGTTCTCTTAGTTTCTGAGAATGTCTTTATTCTTTTTCTTCATTCCAAAAGGATATTTTCACAGTATAGGATTCTAGATTGATAGTTCTTTTTTTTCTTTAGCACTTGAAAGATATTATGCCACTTTCTTCTGGGCACTGTAGTTTGTGACAATAAATCAGCTCTTATTCAAATTGTCTTCCCCCTCCAGGTAAGTGTCTTTTTTTCTCTATCTTCAAAAATTTTTATTTGTCCTTAGTTTAATTATCATGTGGTTTGGTATGGATTCCTTTAGTTTTTAGTGTATTTGAGGAGTTTTCAGCCATCATTTCCTTGAGTACTTTTCAGCTGTGTGCTCTTTGTTCTCTGCTTCCATGACTCTGAGGTTTTTATTTTATTTTTTATTTTAATATTTTCATTTCTTTTGTATGTGTTGTTTGTCAAAATTTTCTTTTTCTTTACTGACTATTTTTTCATTTATCTCAGGCATTTTTTTCATGCTTGCTGTGTTTTTATCAGATCGTTCTAATAACGATTGGAATCTTATATCTGTCTTTTTTCATTCAATTTGAAATCTTCCTGGTTCTTGGTATAATAAGTAATTTTTCATTTGAAACTGGACATATTCATAATATGTTTTGTTAATTTAAATGTTCTGGTTTTGCTGGCTTTCTCTAACACTGCACTGGCAGGGAAAGTTAGGGACACTATCTCCTTACTGCCAAAGGAGGTAGGAGTTCAGATTCCCCCTAGCCTCTATTGAGGGTCACATGCATGGAGATGGCAGTTTTGGCTTTCTGCATTGAGGTGACCTCATTACTGCTGGGCAATGATAAAAATCTTGCCTCTCCTTGGCCTCCTCTGACATTCCCAGAAGGGATGTGGAGAGCCGCCCCTTTACTGTGGGTTGAGCTGACACCACAGGATGGAGGAGGAAGTCTTACTACCCAGAGGGGATAAAAGTCCCAGCTACCTACTTGGGGCTCCTCTTTACTTTCTCACAAGTTTCTTTGGTGTCTAGCAGAAGCAGAGCTGTTATTATCCTAAGGTTTTGTCTTGTTAGGCTGTGCTTTCCTGGTCCTTTGGCTTTTGTTGGGATTTTTTTTTTTTTTTCTGCACACGATGGTGTTTCTGTGTTGCTGGCTTCCTCAGTTCCGCGTTTGGGATATATGGGGCAAAAATTAAGCCCATGGAGTTCACCACTAAATGTTTCTTAGATCCAGGTTCTCTACCGTTCTGCCTTCTCACCACATTTCAGAATCTTACGTTCGTTTATACATAAGACACAGGAATTTTATTTGTGCTTAACAGGAAGAATAGGGGAAAGTATGGCTACTTTCCAGAAGCAACTTCTGTTATTCACATCAAGAACATGTTTTAATTTCAGAATTGTGTTGTTCTTAACTTGACCCTGTGTACATGGGTGGGCAAAAGTAGGTTTACAGTTGTGAGTATGCAAAATAGTTTATTCTTGTATTATTTATTAATTTTTGTATTATAACTGTACACCTACTTTTGCCAACCCTTATATATAGGGTGTCCCCCAAAAATGTATACACACTTTGAATAACTATAAAGGCAGTGTTTATTAACATACATTTCATTTTCAAAATGTAATAGAATCTACAGACATTGTATATACATTTGGGGAGGGGGGGGGAGAACACCCTGTATTACTTTTCCAGACAATGAAGAGCAGATTAATTTGACATTTAAATGAATTCCAAAAAGCAAGCATTCATTGGGGGAAACACCATTTGGCTTCATCTGCATTTATTAGAGTCACATATAGATGCTGTGTGGGGGTGGTTTTTAAGAAAGATCTTAGAAGGGAGAATCACATAGTTATAAGTAGTCAGTAGTTGCCTCTAATATTTTGCACTAGAAAGTAGTAAAAAGATAACGTTATTCTTGGTGTAGTTATAATGAGCTGCTTACCTGGTACTGAGACGTTTTTAGTTGACTTCATTTTCTCAAGCTATCTTTAACAAGTGGTTACAGTAACTCTCAGGTTATGACTATACCTGTCTCAGAGGATTGTGACTAAAAATTTCAGAGCTTTGGTAGCTATCAAGGACTGTACACATATGATACTGCTGTAACTTGTCCTCCTGCAAAGACATACTCTACACTTATAGGAGCACATTTTTACTGTTATAATTCTTAGAATCCTAGAATATTAAAATTAAAGAGATCTTATATGTTAATTAATGTCAAAAATAATTTAGGAACTATAATAGGTGTAACTCAGCTGTTATGAAGGATACTCGACTATCTCAAGAGCAGGGCATTTCATCTTAAATAGTTTCAATGTTTACCAACCTCCTATGTGCATAAGAAGTCCCTCTGAGAGAATTGAGACTCTTGTACATTGAGACTCTTGCTTTTGTTTTCATTTGTGTCACTTAAGAAATAATTGTTGAATTTACGGATGGCTCACAGCCCTGGGTTTTTTCCCCTTCTTTAGTGACAATCTTAAACCAAGTCTGCCTTATCTTGTTACTTTATTCAGTAGAATTTTTTTTAAATCTAGGGGCCAGGCTACATATGGTTTTTAGGAAATTTCTTGTTATTATATTGGCTATTATTTTCCCTTGCCCAGTCCTTCTCCACACTCTTTCCCAATCCATTTTCACTTGCTTCAGATCATTATGAAAGTATTGATAAGGCAGGGCACAATGAGATATTTTCTACATTGGCATCATCCATTAATAATAAGTTTTGGATACCTCTGTAGAAGATGGTGTAAATAATTTCTACTCTTCACATAAAAAAAATAAATATTTTTTTCTGGTTTGGTATGTTACTACTAACTATATGCATTGTTATAGATGACCTGATAATTTAGGTATGTTTTTCCATTTTAAAATATTTTAGTACTTGATTTGGTTTTATTTTATCTATTTTAAAAATATTTCTAGGAAATCCACTTACCCTGGATATATTGAACCTCTATCAGGAACCAGATGGAACAAAAAGGCTACTTAACTACTTGCTTGATAATTTGGCAGGTACTGCAAAAAGAAGTAAGTGGTCATTTATTTAAACCATTTTTTTAGGAAGACATGTAAGAATATTGCTTAATTTTGTGTTTAATATTCTACTAGTTTCAACAGAACAACCACCTCCAAGATCTTGGATTATGTTACAAGAACCAGACAGAACAAGACCAACTGGTTGGTAGCCTTATTTTTTAACGCTTATTTTTATTTGATATTTATAAACCTAACAATATTGTTGGCGGGCTTTAGATTATAGGCAGTGTTACAGTAGAGTGCTTGTACTTAACCTGGTCTGGGAGTTAATAATAAAGATTTAATTCTTGCTCACCTGGCCCCTCTGTCACCCTATAAAAAGTGTGCTATACAGCAATGCTCCTCAGCCAGAGGTGGTTTTATTCCCCGGCGTCCACTTGGCAATTATCTGGAAGCATTTTTTAGTTGTCACACTGGGGAAGTGCTACTGGCATCTCAGAGATGCTACTAAGTATCCTGCAATGTACAGTCCCCCACAATGCAGAATTTATTCAGTGTCAGTAGTGCTACTGTTAAGAAACCCTACTGATAAAGTATTGATCAAATTTAGTTATAATGAATATACAAAAATCTTTTTATATTGGAAGTTTCTAAACCCTAGTATGTTCCAAATGTAATTGATACTTCAAAATTGAAAGACAGCCAAAACTTACTTGAGAGTGAAATTGAATTAATGAACTCTGATTTCCTTTTAACTTAAGTTGAATGAAAATAATTTGGGCTCAGCCAGTGTGCTCAGTGGTTGAGTGTCAGCCCATGAACTAAGAGGTTGCTGGTTTGATTGCCTGTCAGGGCACATGCCTGGGTTGCAGGCTTGATCCCCAGTGCGGGGTGTGCAGGAGGCAGCCAGTCGATGATGTCTCTCTCTCATCGATGTTTCTGTCTATCACTCTCCCTTCCTCTCTCTCCAAAATTCAATAAAAACATTTTTTAAAAATAAAATAATTTGGGAACTTGTAACAAGATTTGGTCTGTGATACCCCTTTCCTCTTTGTGGATTAATAATCATTGCTCTATAGAAGAAAACTAGACATGTCTATTAAGAAAAATAACTGTCGCCGAAACCGGTTTGGCTCAGTGGATAGAGCGTCGGCCTGGGGACTGAAGGGTCCCGGGTTCGATTCCGGTCAAGGGCATGTACCTGGGTTGTGGGCACATCCCCAGTGGGAGATGTGCAGGAGGCAGCTGATTGATGTTTCTCTCTCATCAATGTTTCTAACTCTCTATCTCTCTCCCTTCCTCTCTGTAAAAAACCAATAAAATATATTTAAAAAAAAAAAAGAAAGAAAGAAAAATAACTGTCAGATTTCCACATTCTACATTAACAGAAGGAGCACAAAAATGAGGGAGGAGCCCTGGTCTTAGAGGCTGAGAGCTCGAGATCTTAGTCTTACCTTAGGAACCTTTTGTTCATACCTCTGTGGCAAGTAGTGCATCATTTCATAGTTTGTTCATGTCTATGTCCTTCCTCATTATTTGACTGTATTTATATTCAACTTTATTGAATATATGGAATCAATAAAGTCAAACAGCATTTAAGTGAAGACTATTGAAAATAACTGTGCTTTATTTCTGCCACGTGTTGAATAAGTAAAGTTATCTTTCCTACAGCCTTGTTTTCTGTCATGTGCTATAATGTTCTTTGTGATAAATATGCGACCCGGCAGTTGTATGGCTACTGTCCATCATGGGCACTAAATTGGGATTACAGGAAAAAGGCCATTATTCAAGAAATCCTGAGCTGCAATGCTGATATCATAAGTCTTCAGGTAAGTCATCAGAAGTGTATTTGTTTAAATTGCACAAATGCCCCAGCATTGATAAAGCAAGGTGCAACCTGGGAATGCATTACACATTTTAAGTCATACCTTTAGCAATTCTTAAAATAGTGGCTTTTTCTGTTTTTAGTGAATCCTGGAAGAATTCACTGCCTGCTTTGTTCTGTAGCACTGTGCTGCCAAATTAAGCAAATGGGTTAAGCTGGGTTTTAAGCGTTTGCTATGACAGCTTAAATACTCACCTTTCCCTTCGTAATGCCCCTGCACACTATTTTTTAATTGGGTGGCAATGTTTCTGAAATTGTGGTATTGTCAAGGTATGATTTTGTTTTACCACCAGTGATAATAGATTAGCGCATAGTGGAAAGAGCATTAAATGTGGGTGCACAGTAACTTCAAGTTCTCAGTCCATCTCTCATAACATACATGACCCTGGGCGTCACTTTCTGCAAATCAGTCTTTTGAAGTGATTTTAAGCTCTCAAACTACATATATATGTATATGTAAAGTTACTGTATGTGACTAATTTTGTCTTATGAATAACTTTGCTGTTTACAATTTTTCAGGAGGTTGAAACAGAACAGTATTACAGTTTCTTTCTGGTAGAACTGAAAGAACGTGGCTATAATGGATTCTTTAGTCCTAAATCTAGAGCTAGGACAATGTCAGAACAAGAAAGAAAGCATGTTGATGGCTGTGCAATATTCTTCAAGACAGAAAAGTAAGTCATCGTATTTTAAAAAAAGAAAATTTTCTCTCTTTGCAGGGTGGGGACCAAGAGTATGGAAATTATTTGGCAAATGAGAGAATGAGGCATTCTATTATTACTTAAGAAAACAGTACTTTTTACTTTAGAGGGTTTTATTTTGAATCATTAGAAATAATCTTGTTTTGGAGACATGTTGAAAGTGCTGCTGTTTCTTCAGGTGTTTAGTAGGGTTTAACTCCAATTGTTCATTGAAACACCTTGCATTTAATATTCCCTGCAGGATTCTTAAACCCATAATTTGGAAAACAATATTTAAAAATTACAAGATGAAATATTCCAACACAAAACCTAAACAGAAGATGACTACATTATCCTAAGTTGTAAAGGTTAAAAATCAAGATGTTATCAGTAACAGACTGAGAACAACTTTAAACGGGTGTGGGAAGCTTGGTGTTAAATGTGAAGGATTTTCCATAATGTGATTCACATGCCATCATATCTAAGGAAGTTTGAAAAAAAACAGCATTTCCCACAAAGCTAACATCCTTATATTCCCAATTTTATGTGTGTTTGTGTGTTTGTTTTTGTTTTAGATTTACTTTGGTTCAGAAACACACTGTTGAATTTAATCAGCTAGCAATGGCAAATTCAGAAGGGTCTGAAGCTATGCTGAACAGAGTTATGACAAAAGATAACATTGGAGTTGCAGTACTACTAGAACTTCGAAAGGAATTGATTGAAAAGTCATGTGAGTGATCTCTTCACTTCCTATAAAATTGACCTCCAAAATTTAATAGGAAAAAAGAATTCGTTATGTAATAATAATAGTCTTGTTTAACACCTGAAGAAACTCAGTGAGAATTTAAATCATTTCTAAACTATCATATCTCGTTTTCTCTACCAAAAAGCTTAAGGTGAGAGAGCATTGCCAAGCAAAGTATTTCAAACCTTGAAATTCATAAAGCTCCCAAGAATTTTTCACATAGAAGAAAGGTTGAAGTAATAATTAGTTAAAATAACTACTCAGAGAGAACTCCATGCACTTCTGTAATTTCTTGGCAGAAGGATATTCTGTAAGCAAACTTCTCTTCCTGACCCACTTGTAATCATTATTTTAAAGGTCTCAAGTTTTGGAGAAATCAACCACTTATTTCAAGTTAAATAAGAGTGGCATTCATGCTGAGAACTGAAATTTCTGTCATAGGAACAGTTGGAACTGGGGTTATTTAACCTGAAGGATAGAAAGATGGAACTTAGTGACCATCATAAATACAGCTAAGGAAAAGAGTAGATTTAATTTTGTGAGGCTTGATTTAGTACATCTGAATTAAGACCAGAAGTTTCAAGGAGACACAACTATTTAAAAACCAAGCTGATCCAAATAAAATGGGCTGTTTTTGATCAAGTAATGAATACCCTAAGTTACAAGTACACAACCTGAGGTTTAAATGACTATTTCTAAGGTTTGTTGTAGGCTAGATTAAGTCATTATGTGAGAGAATATTAAGTCAGTTTTATTTTTTTTTTCTAAATATATTTTATTGATTTTTTTTTATTTTATTTTTTTTTTTATAGAGAGGAAGGGAGAGGGATAGAGAGTTAGAAACATCAATGAGAGAGAAACATCAATCAGCTGCCTCCTACTGGGAATGTGCCGGCAACCAAGGTACATGCCCTTGACCAGAATCGAACCTGGGACCTTTCAGTCTACAGGCCGACGCTCTATCCACTGAGCCAAACCGGTTAGGGCTATTAGGTCAGTTTTAGAGTCCTTTTTTATTCCTAAGACTCTGTGATATTCTTGCTTTTAGGCTCTATAAGAATATGTGAGTTGATAGAGGGGTTCTGTGTGTTTTCTTTTTAGCTAATACAGCGGGAAAGCCACATCTTGGAACAGAAAAACAACTTATTCTCGTGGCTAATGCTCATATGCATTGGGACCCTGAGTACTCTGATGTGAAGTTAGTTCAAACGATGATGTTTCTCTCAGAAGTGAAGAACATTATTGATGAAGCCTCACGAAGCCTCCACTCGAGTGCATTGGGAGAATTGGGAAATATTCCACTGGTGTTGTGTGCAGATCTTAATTCTTTGCCAGACTCTGGTAAGAAAAGAATGTTCGTCTATGTAGAATGCTTTTTGACTTCAATGTTTTTGTAACGTATTGTTTCTGATATTCCAAATTTAGTGAAAACAAATTCAGTTTGTAGTGGCAGCTGTGAATCAAGTTTAGAAATTTTTTTGGAGTAGGGGGACCATTTTGAAAATGAAATAGTATTATGAAACCTCAGGAGGAAGGACATTAATCATCTTTGAGAAACACATAGGTAATAACTTGGAATAACTCATTAAAGAACATGTCATTTTGTTTTATTATCCTCAGGATATACAGGTGTTGTTGGCAAAAGTGGGTTTACAGTTGTTTGTATGGAAAACAATACAATAATTAATAAGTAATACAAGAATAAGCTCTGTTTTGTGTACTCACAATTGTAAGCCTACTTTTGCCTACCCCTGTATATAATCCAGACTGAAAGGGTTTTAAGACAGCCTCTTTGGGATTCCAACATGTAATATGGTGCAGTTTAAATTTGACCATATATTACAGGATCTCAAATTTTGGTGGGCTTGATTAGAAAAATCCACTTCAGGTGGAAATTGAAATTCTTCATTTACATAGATCAGGCAAGTGATTTTAACAAAAAAGAATAGGGATTTTTATCACAAAGTAGAAGAATACAGAAAGCCATATTCTTGAAAACTTTTCCATAGATGGTACAGTGAATAAACCATCCTATATAATAAAAGACTAATATGCAAATAGACCAAACAACAGAACAACCCGTCGCTATGATGTGGACTGTCCACTAGGGGGCAGACGCTCAACGCTGTCTCCTGGTGGTTAGTGCGCTCCCACAGGGGGAGTGCTGCTCAGCCAGAAGCCAAGCCAGGCTTACAGCTGGCGAGCACAGCGGTGAGGAGCCTCTCTTGCCTCCATGGCAGCGCTAAAGATGTCCAACTGCCAGCTTAGGCCCGCTCCCACCGCTTAGGCGGACATCCCCCAAGGGGTCCCAAACTGCGAGAGGGTGCAGGCCGGGCTGAGGGACCCCACTCTCCCACCCCCAACTCACAAATTTCATGCACCGGGCCTCTAGTAACCCTTATAATATCAAATCTAACTACAGTCAAACCTCATTTCTTGAACATCTCCCCATCTCCACCAAATTGTTCACAGAAAAAATGTCTCCATTGTTGGGTTTTAGACCTGACAACCCTTTCATGCTGATACCTCAACATGACAAAAAGGAGAGAATGCTTTAAAACATAAAGGGGCCATCAAGAGTGCTAATGTTGCTAAGGGTGTGAAAGAAGCAATGATCACAGGCCATTGAAGAGATCGAAAACCTGTTGTTGATTTGGATAAACAAAAGCTGTCAGTTACAGCATTTTGCAGGCAGTGCTATATGAACAAGCAAAGATGCTTTATGCTGACCTATCAAAAGACACCCGTGGAACGAGTGCTGAAAGTGATTCCTTTAAGGCTAGTGGTGGGCGGTTTGATAAATTTAAGAAGTGTTTATAGATTAGACATGTACTTTATATAAGAAAGGTTAAAACAATCATTTGGGAGTCTGGAACAGATTCGTTCAATTTACATTATTTCTAATGGGAAAAAGTGATTCCATTTTCGAACAAATCACTTCTCGAACAGCCTTTTGGAACGAAGTAAGTTCGAGAACCAATGTGTTTCCTTTTTTTGTATTTCAACTCCTTGTATCTAAGATTCATAATTATTTAGTCTATCTCATCAAGCTATCTGGGGATTACTAGGACTGAAGCAGTTGAGGATTATCCCTTGGCAATTTCTCTAACATGCCTACCGCCCTGTTTAGCTACAAAGTATCCTAGGGGCAAAGAGAGACTTGCCAAATCATACAGATTTAAAAATCCATTTCAGTGTTAAAAAACAATATTTTTCCAATTGAAAAATGGGTAAAGGACCCGAATAGACACTTCTCCAAGAAGGATATACAAATGGCCAATAGACATATGAAAAAATGTTCAAGGTCACTAATCATCAGAAAGATGGAGATTAAAACTACAATGCAGCATCACCTCACACCTGCCAGAATGGCTCCCATCAAGAAATCAACAAACAGCAAGTGTTGGTGAGCATGTGGAGAAAAGGGAACCCAAGTACACTGCTCTTGGGAATGCAGACTGGTGCAGCCATTGTGGAAAATAGTCTGGAGTTCCTCAGAAAATTAAAAATGGAGCTGCCTTTTGACCCAGCCATCCCACTTCTAGGAATATATCCTAAGAAACCCAAAACACCAACCAGAAATATATGCACCCCTATGTTTATAGCAGTGTTCTTTATAATAGCCAAGATCTGGAAACAACCCAAGTTCCCATCAGTGGATGAATGGATAAAAAGCTGTGGTACATTTACACTATGGAATGCCATGTGGCTGTAAAAAACAAAAAGAAACTCATAACCATTGTGACAGCATGATTGAAACTGGAGAGTATTATGCTAAGTGAAATAAGCCAAATGCCATATGATCTCACTTATATGTGGAATCTAATGAACAAAATAAGCTGTTGAACAAAATAGGACCATAGGCATGGGTACATGGAAAAGACTGGCAGATCTCAAAGTAGAGGGTGGGGTGGGGACTGGAAGAAATTAACCTAAGAACATATATGCTTAGCCCATTGACACAGACAACAATGTGATGAAGGCTGATGGGAGGTGGGCAAAAAGGGGAGACAGACAAAGAGGGGGGAAACGGGGACACTTGTAATCATGTCAACAATTTAAAAAAAACAACAGTATTTTAATAGCAACCACGGGAAATCTCCAACCTTGCTAAATTTTTTAAAATATATTTTTTATCCCTAGCCAGTTTGGCTCAGTGGGTAGAGCGTCAGCTGGGACCCTAGGTTTGATTCCTGTCAAGGGCACATGCCCAGGTTGTGAGCGTGCAGGAGGCAGCTGATCAATGATTCTCATCATTGATGTTTCCCTCTCCCTTCCTCTCTGAAATCAATAAAAATATATTTAATAAATAAATAAGGCAACATGAATACTACCCTATTTCTTTTTAAAAATATATATATATTACTTTTTATTTCAGAGGAAGTGGGGGAGAGAGAGAGAAAGAGAAATATCAGTGATGAGAATCATTGATTAGCTGCCTCTTGGACGCCCCATACTGGGGATTGAGCCTGTAACCTGGGCATTTGCCCTGACCTGGAATCAAACCATGACCTCCTGGTTCATAGGTAGATAGATACTCAATCACTGAGCCACTCCAGCTGGGCCAACCTTGCTAATTAAATGGAAACTAAAATAAATGTTTGTTGAGCTCATCTTGTGCTTAGGAAATTGGGGGAATAGTGTTCAGGGATGGTGAACTTGCTTTGTAACTAACTGGTGGTATTCTCTTTCATAGTTGCCACTAGCCTATCTAATAATAGACAGAGATTGAAATTGACCGTACCTTCGCTACGCCTCCCATTGGCTAATTAGCGAGATATGCAAATTAACCAACAAAGATGGTGGTTAATTTGCATACGTAGGCGCGAAGCGGCAGAGCGAAGACTGACGGCGCCTCTGGCCGCCAGAGCCACGGAGAGGCTTGGAGGCGCCTTCGCTGCCGGGTGCCAGAGGAAAACCAGTGCCCGCAGCCAGGGGAAGGGAAGGCCTATTGCACAAATCTTTTTGTGCAACAGGCCTCTAGTATATAATAGGACAATGAATCCTAATCTTGGTATTTTATACCAAGTAAATAATTTAGCCTAAGTAGAAACCTACATAATAAGATGTTGATTATGGTGTTAATTCTTTTTAAAAAGTAGAAACGGGCTGAGTTTTTAAAAAAGGAAAGGAAAGGAAACTAGTTTTAATAAAAGTTATGCTCCAGTTCTGCCTGTTGTATTGTACAACCATTTAGAAAAGGTAGCCCTAGCCAGTTTGGCTCAGTGGATAGAGCGTCGGCCTGCAGACCAAAGGGCCCCAGGTTCAATTCCAGTCAAGGGCACATGCCTGGGTTGTGGGCTTGGTCCAAAATGCAGGAGGCAGCCAATCAGTGATTCCCTCTCATCATCGATGTTTCTTTCTCTCTCTTCCTCTCCCTTCCTCTGTGAGATTAATAAAAATATATTTAAAAAATAAATAAAAATAATGAAAAAGATAATTCAGTGTAGCTCAGTGGTTGAGTGTTGACCTATGAACCAGGAGGTCATGGTTCAATTCCTGGTCAAGACATATGCCCGGGTTGTGGGATTGATCCCCATTATGGGGCGGGCAGGAGGCAACAGATCAGTGATTCTCTCCCGTCATTGATGTTTCTTTCCCTCTCCCTTCCTCTCTGAAATGAATAAATATATATTTTTAAAGGTAGTTGAGACTACACATAGTTCATGTGAAACAGTAAAGTGAAGAATAAAATATTCGGTATACTATGATTAAAACCATGTACAAATGGATTTTTAAAAATATTTTTATTCATTTCAGAGAGGAATGGAGAGGGAGAGATAGAAACATCAATGAAAGAGAATCGTCCATCAGCTGCCTCCTTCAGGCCCCACACTGGGGACCTAGCCCACAACCCCGGGCATGTGCCCTAAGAATTGAACCGTGATCTCCTGGTTCATAGGTCGATGCTCAAGCACTGAGCCATGCCGTCTGGGCATGTACAAATGGATTTAGACAAGTTCTGGCAAATGTAAAAACCCAGTTTATTTTAATTTCATTTTTTTATGTGCATCAGACATGAAACGGCTCTGGCCACAGACATAGGCATCAAGCTAGGATGAACTAAGGACTATACATCTCCTTTGCCCCTGATTGATATAAGAGCAACGCCACCAATCAGGTGTCTCCTTGCCAGGGGTTAAATACCCATTTTAAAAAGTGGGAAGATTTTAGAAAGTATAATATAAAACTACTTACAATTGAATTATCTTTTTAGTTATGTTTTATATAGCATACGTTATACTTGACCTTGTAAAAAGTCCATTTATTTTCATTCTAGGTGTTGTAGAATATTTGAGCACTGGTGGAGTAGAAACAAATCATAAAGACTTTAAGGAACTGAGATATAACGAAAGTCTTACGAACTTTAGCTGTAATGGGAAAAATGGGACAACCAATGGAAGGATCACTCATGGTTTCAAGTTAAAGAGTGCCTATGAGAGTGGCCTGATGCCTTACACCAATTACACGTTTGATTTCAAGGTGAGTTTTGAAATTAGTAAACTTGTAAAAACTTTATTTTTAAAGGAGAGTCTTATTACTTTGTCAAGTCTTTAAAATGTGAATATTTGTTCAGTTTAGGCCATCTTGAGTAGGTTTACAGAAATATTCTAGAAAACTTAGAATTATTTCCCATGTAAGAAATCAGATGAAATAATAATAGTAAATCCTGAGTTAACTGTCTCATCCTTTGGGGTCAATTATGTTTCTTATAGACTCAATACAAAGCTGGATTTGCCATACCACAGGCCCTCAGATAACGTCATTTTTTTTCAACATCATTTCATTATAATGTTGATGAGATGCCATGGGAACGTAACTCTTGTATATATCAACTAGCCTCTGGTAAAATTAATTTCATTCTCTGTTGTTTCGCTTAAAGTTGCAGAACCTATCTGGTCATTAAGTAAGGACTTACTGTATCTAATTTGGTGTCAGTTGGGGTGAGGTGTTCCACCTCATGTTAATTAAACTGAAACCTACTCTTGAGTGCTAAAATGTGGTTTATTGTTGGCCATTTTCAAGTTGTTAAAATATATATATACACATGCCTTATAGTTGACAGCTTACAGTGTGGGGACTTTCCTTAGTGGGTCTCTTTATTTTTAGTATCAGCGGTTATTTAGGGTTTGTGTTCAGCTGTCCTTTTTAGCCTCCTTTTGCATTTCTGCTTTCTTGTATCCTAGTTTTCCACTTCTAACCTGATGGAACATGAATCGTTCAGGTTAGATTATTAGAGTGCAAATACTAGTGTTAACTGGTTCCTAATTTTGGTGGGGAGGGCTCTTTAGACTCTTTAAAAGAAACTGTTGAAAACCATGATAGTTTTTTATTTGACTTTGGGGGATCCCCAGTACTGTAGGTAATTATTATTTAGTCCTGGTAACAAATGAGTGTGTCGAGTTGAAGAGAGATTAGAGTAGACTCCGGGAAAACTGACATGTAAATGACAAAAACCATGGAGGGGGAAACAGGACTGTGGGAGCTTACCTGCCAAGGAAATCAGGCCTTTCTAGGAAAGAGTAGTGGCAGGTGAGCTTCAGAGAGATGCTGGTGGGGGGTGCTTCCCTGAGTGGTGAGGTAGTAAACGCCAACTTGGAGATTCTTAGTTCAGAAGCTTGATTGAAGAAGTGTGGGTAATAACTCAAAGGTGGGCGAGATTAGGGATTTTTTTTTCATCGTTCGTGCTAGTGATGTAGAGATAGGAAGGAGACCTTTGAATATATTTAAATACTTTTGGCCAAGAACATGTAGAGGAGCAAGTGAAAAGCCAAGAGGTGCTTAGCTGTGTACCTGGTGCTGCAGGACGTGCAGGGCGGGACAGCCTGGTCTCAGCCACATGAGTAAGTATGTAGTAGGGCACACATCAGCAGGGGAAGAGAAGCGGAGGTGGTGGGAGGTACTAGTGAGCTATGAAGATCTTTGGAAAGTGATTGAGGTCCACACTTGAAGGTTGAGAAGGATTAACCAGATGACAAGTAGAAGAAAGCGTTCGGGCAAGGAGTGCAGCATGTGTGAAAGCTGTGGGGCTGGAAAGAGACTGGCACGTGCAAAGAATGTTTATCCCCCTCCCCCCCTCAAAAAAAAAGAGCTAGTCTGGCAAAGGGGTAGTGAGGAAAGAGAAGCAGAAGCCATATCACAAAAGATGCTTTATGTCTTATTAAAAATTCTGAAAGGATCCAGATAGGAAAATGAATGGTTGCCATGCTAAACAGTCTTCATTCTGCAAGGTTTGACATTTAGGGGACCGTTTGGCTCAGGTGGTACTGTCTCTTCCCACATGCTAATGAAGTTTTTATAAAACATGCCTGAAAGGGTATGTCTTGAGATCTTTCGGTATTTCAGTGTTATCTTATGTTTTTTTATTTCCTTCTGATTTTTCAGGGTATAATTGACTACATCTTCTATTCTAAGCCTCAGCTGAACACATTAGGCATTCTGGGACCTCTGGACCACCATTGGCTAGTTGAGAATAATATCAGCGGCTGCCCACACCCACTCATCCCCTCCGACCACTTCTCACTTTTTGCACAACTGGAGCTCTTACTGCCTTTCCTGCCCCAAGTTAACGGCATTCACCTTCCTGGCAGGAGGTAGTCAAGTACCTTCAGAAGACGACCTCAATGTCACTTGTAAACTTATAAGAAAATCTGAATATCGGGGAGTGAGATATGGCCATTAGGGATTTTTTTTTCTTAATGATGATTTGAGTTTTCAATCTGATTATTTGATAAGGATATAGTGTGAAAGCCAGGTGCTAGCAACAGACAAATTCTGAGCCCAATATGCTTTATACACTGTTGGACAGGGATTGGTGTGTTTGCACCTATCTTTTAATTTGTTACCAGTAATTTTCCTGTTTCTTCTGTCCAATATAATATTTTCATGCCTTGAAATAGGAAAATGTTTGAACAGCATATTCTCTTTGCACAGAAATCAGTAGTACTACTTTTTTGAGGCCAGTAATAACATCCAGAGAACATTCTTCCATACTTGACTCCCTTCTTTTTCAGACATATTTGTAAAATACAGAATTTGAATTTAGCCTTTATGATTGTATATGATCCACAGAAGACCTGATTTATGAAATTTTTTACTAAAAAAATCAGATTTGGAAATGATTGTATTGTAAATTAAGGCTGAATTTTTGTTTTTGTGTGTGTTTTTTACACCGGTTTCATGTGTTATAAAGGCCAGCTTGTAAAAGAAGCTGCAACAGACTTTCTCTGCAGAGGAGTTGCGCTGTTAGGATTTTCTTGGCTGTTTTGTGCTACTTTGTAATTAAATGGAGAACCTTACTCTTTAAACCTATTTAATGCTTAGGACATTTTTTTCATGAATTCTGGGTTTTTACAAAAACTATCTACCAGGACAGATACGCTAAGCAGTGGTGATCTGTAGGCATTTATGGACTGAATGTAATGATATATGTACATTCTGATATTTTTAAATCTTTAACTTTTTTTAAGTTAAAAAATTACAGCTGCTTGGGTACAGCTTTTTAACTCCCTTTTGAGACGCCTCCCGTCTATCTCCACTGTGCCTGCCTCAGTTGTTCTCACCAAACACTGCCCGTGCATGCAGAGAAAATCTGTGCATCTTCTTTTATAGTTTTAAATACTGTTGAACATTTGTGAGGGTTTTATGGACATGCTTTTGTATGAGCTGTGACTTTTTCCCATTGTAAAGCATTGAATATCACATTTTGGACAAAGGGTGAATCCCTGGGTCTTCGCTCACCAGACCCAAGCACTGCTTCTTGGTGTCATTGCACAGTGCTGTCACCCAGGATACTACTATCATGTGAAGTCTTTTTGTTTTCCATGTATTCCTTAGTCTCCATGTTTTTCTTTTAAAAAATCATTCCTTTTTTTTTTTTTAAGTAATTTTCCATTTATGAAACAGTATAAATGAGATGTATTTTCAAAACTGGTCCTTAAGACAATTCTTCAGATCATTTTTGAAGTGACTAAGCTATTTTAATATGTCAACCAAGGTAAAAGTTATATTGTACCGAGTATTTGCCCATAGTGCCGTTAGTAGATAAGAGATTAAAGCCAGCTTTAACTTTGCAAAGTTAACTCATATGTATTCTGGTCTCATTCATTTATTATCATCTCAAAACTAAAATTAATTCAGAGGGAACTTGGTCCAACTGCTTTTGTTTCAACTGCAGGCAAGGGAGGAAAAGAACACCATGTGAGCAGTAGGGTGAAAAATTGTTCGATGATAACAATTTTTACACAGAGAATGAGTCATTTTGGATGATGGCTTAAAATTTTATGAAAAAATGTTCAACACATAAATGTGCTTATTCTGTTTTTAAGAGAAAATAAAATTTACACACTGCTTAAATAAATTTTTTTTTCTTTTAAAAAAATTCTCCAAAAGCTGTTGGTTGATCTTGAATTTTTGTCTGGGACCTAGTTTCTTCTTTGAGGTTTTTTAAAGATTTTGTTGTGATGGATTTTTTTATTTTTATTTTTTGTTTAAGTTGTGCTGACACCAAACATTCAGTTTATAATCAATACATTGAAAAGTTGGTATTATTGATGTAGAACCAATGCATAACTTTTTATGGGGGTTTTGTTTTATTTTTTTGTAAAGTGTGAATAAAGGTGTGTTTACTCATTTTTCCTAAACACTGTGTTGGTAATGTGCATCATGACAATTTCCAGAGAAGGCGATCTGGAGCTGGTTGGACTGATGAAACAAAGGAAACTTCTTTTCCTCTGACCTGCATTATGTAATAACAGGTCCAGAGAGCTTTATGGAAGCGGGAGGGGAGTGGCACTTACTCATTTTGTATTTGTTAATGGAGGATGTATTCTTTTCATAGATGCTGGAACTAGAGTGCACTTGTTAGAAGCTAAAGGTTTGAGCTTTACAGAAAATGTCTTCATCTGTATTTGTTATTGTTATAATATATTTGAATTGGGGGGGGCAGGATAGTATTAACATTGTTGATACAGTGGCCTGTTATGTCTTGAAAATATTTGTCCTTGCCTCTTCTAGGCATACTGCATTCTGTGGGGTCCGTTTGAACAGCTTCTCCACCTTATTGAGATAGTGATGAATTGATCCAAGAGTGTAGATTTACAACTATAACCTTCAAAAGAAAAAGAAATATTTTGAATCTGTAGGGAATCAGCAGTCACACCAAAATAGACTGTGATACTTTTGTTAAGCAAGGTTTTGTGTTTTAAATATTTCTGTGTCCTGAATAATTTTCAGTCTATACTCTCTAAAATGCAATAAAAACTAGTATGTTTTCACAGTATAGATTTTTTTTTCCAGAAATTCTGTAACAAATACATTTAATGTGGTGTTGCCATAATGTAATTTCATTGTTGCTGGAAAAATTCATGTTATGAATGTTTTACAGAAAACTTGGACTATGTTTTCTGTTTTAATGGTCAGAAAGTTGGAGGCATTCAATTCCTTGTTGTAAATCTCCTGAAGTACAGTTAACCATATTAGTGGTAATTATTTATGCTTTGAGAATTTAAATTATGTTCATTAAAATTAATTTATGGCATAATTTAAACTAAAGTTGTAGATATGAAATGTTGATTGCAACTTTAATCACCCTAGAAGATAGTCAAGGAACATCTCCCAAGAAATGTGTTTTTATTTTTACCTGATTTAATGACAGCCAGGAAAGCTTATTTGAGTTAGCACTTTGAAACCTAAGGACGTTATTAATAGGGTGGAATGCACTTCTAAATGTTGAAATTAAAATTTCAAAGCTCTTCCAATATGCAGGTTTTCAATAATAAATCCCAGTTTTAGTATTCCACTTTTTACTATTTGACGTCGTAGGATTTGTTTCCATGGTGATTTCTAAGGTTTTGGGGTCATGACATAGAAGAACAAAGCCAATCTGGGCAAAAGAATGGCAGCAGCTTGTTCTTTAATGAACCAGCCTGAGTGCGCAGAGCAGACGCTGCGGATCATCAAAGAACACGTTCAGCAAGCGCTTCTCTCCCACTCAGAACAGGTTTTCAGGATGTTCACTTTGCTCTGCTCTTTGGTTACATACGTTTTAATAATTGGTATGTTGAAGTAGTATCTAAAATAGAGTGTCTAGTTTTTATTCACAGTACATTCTATTGTGTGATGCACTGGGCTAACTTTGGTTTATTTACCATTCATGTAACAGAACCCAGCACATATCTGCACTAAGCTCAAAGAATGTTTGCCTAGGCAGCTCTTTGATAAGGGTAATGGGAAACAATATGTACCTATGGACCAGAGGTAACAAGGGCTTTTACTGTTCTTTTCAGTGGAACCTTCTTGGTCAAATTGTAACTAGCTAGTATTATATTTATATACAGGGTCTCTTTTCTTTACCGATGTATTTTCCTACTTATAGCCGACCAATAAATTCAATATTTGTTTCAAATATTTTAAAAGTGTAATTTGTATAGCTGTAGTACTGAGGTTTGAGAAAATAAATGTTAATCAGCAGACCACTTATTTAAAACTCTGAGTAATCTGGGACAGGGTTATAACTCACCCTTTGAAAGGGAAGAGTGATTGGGGGACAGACCATGATTCTGTAGAAATGGTATAAACTTAAGGATTTCTTTAATGGCTGTATTATTCTGTTAAAACTCATATCTTTGCCAAAGTTCAGTTTTAGGCAACTAACGATCCTTTGCATTGAGGATTGTTGTTGTTACCATATACCTCATAATGACTTCGTATGTCTTCCATCTTTTGGAAGGAGATTGACATATTTTGAATAAATATTTTTAAATATAGCCGCAAACGTTGTGTTGGTGGGGTTGTACTAATTCATTAAATGTTTTACTTGTTACATGTATGTTTTGTTGTATATAAATTTTTAAAATGTGTGACTTCCCAAGTCTTCAGGACATTAACTACATTTGCTTTTTAGAAACTACTTCTATAACAAATAAACGTACATTTTTATGTAGATATTGGAAAAATCATTTAAAATCAGGAAACAATTTAGATAAAAATAATGTTTTGCTGAGATGTCCAGTTTTTAAAGGAGGCGTTTTCTACCAATACTTTAATATATAATTTTACTTCTATCTATAACAGAAGTCATATTCCTTCTTATAACTGTAAAAATGTGTAAAAAAGTTAATGACGTATGTTCATATTTATAAATTCTAGTTAATGTTCTTTAGAGGAACAAGTACATGAGGAAACATGACCTGGAATACATTTAAATAAAGTTTTCAGGTTTTAGGTAATGATGTTATATATACTGAGAATTTCCTTGTAGTATTTAGATACTCAAATCTAAATTAATTTTAAAAATAAGCTTTCACAAATACTGTAAAGACAATTTTAGTATAAGGTTATATATTAGGAGAATCTTAAAGATAGTTTTTACTAGAATTTTACAAGAATGTTAAGAATATTTCTGGAAGTTCATTTCCTCTAAATAATAAAATATAAAATGTGCTACGTAGATCATTCCCCAAACGAGTCTAACAAACTAGTCTAAAGCTAGGAATTGGGAAAACTGCTGAATTACAAAGTGTCTTGAAAACCAGTTTCTACAGTTTCCTTAGCAACATTAGCATGTTTAATCAAATGAGTAAGATGTCAGTTTACTCGTTTTCTTTGAACTGCAAACTTCGAGACACTCTAATCTACTTGAAAGCATATTAAATTATTTTGAGCCTGTCAGGGGAAACTTTGCTCTCTATACCAGTGTGACTGGAGGTGGCCTCGAGCTCTTAATGTCCAAACTTCAGCCTTCCTAGCGTGTGAGTCGGAGCTACGGGTCCTGAGGCGCTGACTTAGCACCGCTGCTTCATTAGGTAACGGTTTCTCACGGCCAGCCCTGCCGCCCTGCTGGTTTCAGTGTTCCCCCTTCATGCCAATCCTGCTAGTGCTGTTTGTTTCCAAAGTTGATGTGATTCTTCAGACCTGGTCCGTGAACTGATGGTGTGACCAAAGCCAGTTAAGAGAAATCTACAAAATACTGGACTTATTTTCTGTTTATTATTCACACTGAGGCAGATGGCTATATCTCAGGCAGCAGTGCAGGTGAGGGGTATAGGAAATGTGTGCAGCTGGGAATGGAGTGGATTTCTGGTGGGGAGTGCAGTAGAGTGGCTGGGACACAGCAAGTGGTGCCTTTTGAACCTTGAACCATATACTGAGGTTGGAACTTCATCCTGTAGGTGGTGGTAAAGAGCCATGCAGGGTTTTAAATGCAAGTCACACTACCAGGTTTGTATTTTAGAAAGGTCACTAACAGCACTATGGAAGATGGAGTAAAAGAATAAGACTATTTAACTGGTTTCTGACATGCTTCAGTTGACAGAAGATAAACTGAGGACCGCTTACAGGGCAGTAAGCTGAAATGTTTAGGAAATCCTATATAATAAAAGGCTAATATGCAAATAGACTAAACGGCGGAACGACCAGTTGCTATGATGTGCACTGGCCACCAGGGGGCAGACGCTCAATGCAGGAGTTGCCCCCTGGTGGACAGTGTGCTCCCACAGGGGGAGCACCACTTGGCCAGAAACCTGGCTCACAGCTGGCGCACGCAGCGGTGGTGGCGGGAGACTTTCCCGCCTTCGCAGCAGCACTAAGGATGCCTGAGTGACGGCACCTAAGCCATCAGTTGGACATCCCCCAAGGGCTTCCCCCCCACACACACACCCTCCAGTGCATGAATTTTGTGCACCGGGCCTCTAGTAGAATCAATAAGAACCTTTATTCCTGCCTCATTCATTGTGTGAGAAAAGACGAGTGAGTTTTGTTCGGTCACTCATTGTCTCCATTAGGCAGACCCTGACTCAACATCTCTCATGTCTTTACCAGCAAGACTTTAATTTTTCCTTAACTGAGCTGACTAAAACATTTGATCAAAGAATTTTTTTTCTCGGGTTACATTTATTTCCCATTATTTTTCATTCCAATTTTAGTCTGCGAAGGAGATCCAGTATGCCACTACTAAACGGTTGAATAAATCCAGAAAATAAAAGATAACGTTTGATGCCAATATAATTGTTCTAGCTTGTTTTTCTTCTAGACTCTCATATTCTTGATAATGGTTTCAGTGTAAAAAGACTGCATTAGAGGGTACTTTAATAAAGCAACACACAAAAATGAAAAAGACCCAAGAATTATAAAAGCAGGAAGTTTCCTTCATGTAACAGATGAGACTGTGGTGTTCAATATGGTAACTTTTGCCACAGATGGATTTTGAGTACTTGAAATACAGCTAGCATGACGGGAGCTTGTTTTTCTGTTAAATGAAACATTGTTTTGATAGGACCGTATTTCCCTTTATCTGTTGCATTCTGTCAAATACGGAATGAGTGTATTATTTACTAGTATATTATGCATAAACATCACCAGTTGATGTCAAATAATTGATTACATTCTAACAATGTTTTACTTATCAAAGTAACATTATAATCTGTTAGATGAATATTGTATGCAAATAGCATGAGTTAACTGTGCCTGTATAAGATAAGTATGTACAAATTATAAATTAAATGTCATTTCTGATACAGAACTGAGCCAATACAACTGGAAAAGTCTGGAAGGAATATTACAAATTCCATGATGAAAGACACGGGCAGTTTGTGGCACCAGGACAAAAGAAAAAAGTGAATATTTTCTCAAAA